ATAATCTGGCTTGGGGGGGAGTGAGTGAGTGGGTTCTGACCGGGGGCGCTTGAAAAGCTGCCCGCCATGTCCACCACCAGCATCTGCGCGCTGCGCACCCCGCACTCCCCCCTGCGGTAGGGGGTTGCATTTACGTTCAAAAGTAATGGGGGTGTGATGAGTCTTCGGGGCGGTTAAGGTCAAGTGCGTTTTGACATGGGGGTCTGAGCAAGCTGCCAACCATGTCCATCAAAGCACCTATAGTACACAACTCGCACTCGACCAAGGAGGAGTTAAGCTAGCTACATGGATGGGCACGCGAAACGTGTTGAGTATAACCGCGTGTAATAGAGCAGAAGCCGGTTTTTGGTTCCTAAGTACACTCTCAAAGAGAATACTCTAGTGCGCACCACGCACCTCAAGTGAGAATAAAGAGAGAGCTCCGCTTCGTTCCTCCGCTGAAGTTATGTTTACGGCCCTCACGTGACTTCGGGCTCTTGCCTGGTAGCACATTGCCAGCACATGGCATCCTGAGTGATCGGAGACCAAGTCGGCTATCTTTGAAACGGTCTCTATAGAAGAAGACTTCGACTGTGGTAGACTGCAAGCATTGGCAACAGAAGTGCTCGAACCAAGTCAACTGTTTTCTTAACACTTTCATTGTAAAACGACTTGCAAACGTGCTTTGCGTCTCACCTTCCCGTCAACTCGCTGACGCTGCGACGAGAGCTCCCCACCGATCGCCTCGACCGCGGCTTTCCGCACGACCTGCAGACCGGACGGAAGACCGTTTGGTGAACGGAACATGCCCTGGGATATTTATCTCATTTCAGTTAATGGACTACTCTGTAATGACGTAAGCTCGCGTTGAGCAGAACGTGGGGTTCCGAAACGTCCGCTCACCCGAATTTGCAATATCGCGTGCGGTGCGCGACGAGTGCCGGTTTTGCTTTCGTCTCTGCATGTGGCAGCCCCTTTGTCCGCCCGTGAATTTCCAAACAGAGTTTCATATCCTCACATTCGAAGCCCGGAAGTCCCAAACTCTAAGTCTATTGCTCGCTTACTGGAATCTGCAGCATCGCGTGCTCACGCGACTCGAAGTGCCGGTTGAGCATCGGTACCCAAAGCCTCAGAATCCTCCGACCCCAAACGCCCAAGGATCCCAGAATGTCAAAAATCCAAAAGGAGGCCCGCTCAGCCGAATCTGCAAGACCGCATGTGCACGCGGGGAGTGCCGGTTGAGCTTGATCTCCACGTAGTGTAGCCCCTGCTTCCCCCGGTTGAACTCTCGCATCAAAAGCCCCAAAATCTCAAAAGCACCAAACGTAGAACCGTGAATCTGCGAAATCATTAAGCGGTTGCCCGCTCACCCGGATCTACAATACAGCATGCGCGCGCGAAGGATGCCAGCCGAGCTTGGTCTCCGCATAGTGCAGCCCCTCCTTGCCCCGGTTGGACTCTCGCACCTAAAGCCCCAAAATCTCAAAAGCCCCAACCCTGAAATCGTGACAACGCAAATTTCTAAACGATTGCCCGCTCACCCGGATCTGCAACACCGCATGCGCGCGCGACGAGTGCCGGTTGAGCTTCGTCTCCGCGTAGTGCAGCCCCTGCTTGCCCCGGTTGAAGTGCTGCAGCAGCTCGGTGGGGCTGCCGCACGTGAGCCACGTCAGCCCCTCCACGTCACACGCCGCGCCGCGCACTGTTTCCGAGGAGCGGGTCTCGCGCAGGCGCAACGGGGCGCCCGTGATCTCGCCGCAGAGAAGATCGCTTATCTGAAGGGGAACAGGTGTGACGTCAGCAAGGAAGGGCGGGTGGAAGAAGGCGTCATATCGACGTCAGCGGCGCCGGGGCACAGTGCCGAAGGAGCGGGTCTCGCGCAGGCGCAGAGGGGCGCCCGTGATCTTGGCGCACAGAAGGTCGCTTATCTGGAGGGGAATAGGTGTGACGTCAGCAAGGAAGGGCGGTTGGAAGAAGGCGTTATATCGACGTCAGCGGCGCCGGGGCACAGTGCCGGAGGAGCGGGTCTCGCGCAGGCGCAGCGGGGCGCCCGTAGATCTCGGCGCAGAGCAGGTCGCTAATCTGAAGGGAGACGGGGATGACGTCAGCAAAGAAGAAGAGGCGTGTTAGAATCATGTCAGCGGCGCCGCGCTTAGTGTTAGAAGAGCGGCTCCTGCGCAGACCTAGCGGAACGCCCGTGATCTCAGCCCAGAGCAGGTCGCTAATCTGAAGGGAGACGGGGATGACGTCTGCAAAGAAGAAGAGGCGTGTTAGATTGACGTCAGCGGCGCCCCGCTTAGTGTTAGAGGAGCGGCTCTTGCGCAGACCTAGCGGAACGCCCGTGATCTCAGCCCAGAGCAGGCCGCTGATCTGGAGAGGAGAAGAATGGTGCCGTAAGCAGGAAAAAGGCGATGAAGTCTGCAGAAAGAGATGCATGGAGTCCGCGTGACGTTGAAGGACGAGAACAGATTGCGGTCTCCGCTCTGGCGAAGTCTCTCTTCAGTCCTAGGTAAAGAGGGTGCCATCCCCCAAGCGAATCCAACTGGAATTCACCGTTTTTCCGCAGACGGAATGCCTCACGTTCCTCTCCCAGTTCCTTTGTGGATCTAGCACAACTCAAGCAATATATTGCTTTGGCGACTGCAGAACAAACCCGCTCTGTAGCACGTCTCCCACTTCCACGTTACCTTTTGCCTACAGGTCAAAAGAGCGACCAGCGCCCCACTTCGCCGTCTCGTTGTAGATGTGGCAGAACGCCAGAAGGACGCCGCACCTCATTGCATCCGATGTTCCTCGTAACTCTTCAATGGGGTTTTCTCCGAATCAATGTGGCGACCCGCCTCTGCCCTCACCGTCTCGTTGTAGATTTGGCAGAAAGCCAGCTGGACGCCGTACGAGTTTTTGCGGTCCGCCGCGATGCGCATGAACAGCTGCCCCGCCAGCCGCGACACCAGGCCCGCCTGCTCCAGCGCGCCCTCGCCGGGGTTCAGCAAACTGTGGGTCTTGCCGGACCCGGTCTGCAACAGAAAGCGTCCGAGTTTCAGGGAATGGCTTGATCGTTCAACGCTTCAACAATATCACAATCCAAATCCTAGTTTGTAAGACTGCGGTTCAGCGAAGTGTGGGTCTTGCCGGACCCGATCTGCAACAGAAAGCGTCCGAGGATCAGGGAACGGCTCGATAATTCAACGGAATCAACAACATTCTATGTTAAAGATGCGAACCTGATCGAAAGACGGGGGTTCAGCAAAGTGTGGGTCTTGCGACCCGGTCTAAAACAGAAAGCATCCGACATTAGAAACGACTTGATAATCGGTATCGCATTACCTATTCTCAGAATGTGACCTAGTCAAACGACGGGGGTGCAGCAGGCTGTGAATTTTGCCGGACCCCGTCTAAAACAGAAAGCGTCCAAAGTTAGAAACAGCTTTAACAGAGCCCAACGGTTCGAAAATCCAGCAGTCCTCAAGTGTGGATTGAGCTTAAAAGACGGGGGTTCAGGAGGCTGTTGGTCTTGATCAACCTGGTCCGTAAAAGGACCTTAAGCGTTTGGGCCATGCCTCGTATGAAGAGCATCCAGAACAGAACGATTTCAAAATTCCGTTTCTTAAAGGCCAAAGTTTTGCAGACTGCAGGGTGTGGGCTTTGCGCGACCTGGTCTCGAGTTTTGAAACGAGGACCTGCATCTCCCAAGTAACTTCGAAGCAGGTGGTCCAATTGCAGGTGGTTCGTTTGCTGGAGCAACAATAGAAGGAGCGTAAATGGATATCGGGTCATTATGTAGTGGATTCTGAGACTCTGGTTGACGGCTTGCATCTCATAGGCGAGACTGGGTTGGGCGAGGTATGAAGCTGCTTCTTTGGGATAGAGGTGAGTGCACAAGCTTGACACGGTGTGGGACTGCCCGGTTCTGTCTCAAAGAAGAAAAAGCGTCCGGATCAGTCACGGCGATAACCTCACTGGTGGACCAAAAACGGACAGGTTCGAGCGCTTTATAGTGGCTCAATCTCGACTTTCAGCATACTGTGCGTCTTGCCAGACTCGGTCTGAAGAAATGGAGAAGCCGGGGGGTCTATCCGGCAGTGCACGAAGAACAGACAACTTATAGCACTTTAGGCCGCGCTCTCCGGGAAGTTAGGGGAATTTGCAGTTTCGGCGACCAACACAAAAACGAGAAAAGGCGTCCAGATAACAGAACTCTTGTCTAAGTTGTCTTCAGGACGGACAACGGAAAAACTTCGACGAGACCCTCAGTCTAATCGACATAGTCTGACAAAGGGCCAAGAGCGTCCGTTAGGCAAGGCACGTCGTTTAATAGCGCCGCACAGATAAGGGCCCTAAATTCAAGACACTATGCATCCCGAATGAGAGCCTTGTTGCAAGCTCACTTGTTCAGACAGGCGGTTGGAAAGGTCATTCTAATCAAAGCCGTCGGATAGCAACCCCTTTGGCTGAGGTGACCATCATACAGCCAGAGAATTCTGGTTTTGTAGTCCAAAGGCTGTCAGGACGACGTCAGATCAACAGCGTGCTAGAAAACCTCTCGATGCCTTCACTTCGGTTCTCCTCTTTGGCTTGTCTGAAGTTCCGTCCTCGATCTGCAAATAAATCAAAGTGCCCATGCACCTAAAACAAATCTTACATCACCAGACTCGAAACAGAGTGGTGATTCAGGTACATCCTGCACAATAGTGTCAAGCGGAGCTCACCTGTCCATATGCCAAGATGGTTCCGTCGTATCCCGCCAACACTCCGTCCAACACGGGCTGGCCCACCGCCTCAAACACCTCTGCTTGGCTCGAGTCGGGCGGAAACACGGCATCGAACTCGAATGCCCGCTGCATCGACGCTCGGCCTGCTTGCACATCCTTCTCATCGAATACAGTGACCTGCACAGGCCGAAACTTGAATGTGAGTTACTGAGACCTCAACAGACTGGTCGTTTGGGGGTCTGCGGATACATCAATCCAGTACAATGACAGGTGTCTAATTGATGCCACTTCTGAGTGCACATTCAGGGGGCTGTCATGCAATCTCAGCAAAGTGCCTCAGTATGGGTAGTTTGCACGGCCCTAGCTCCGCATCGCCAAAAGACTCTCTTTCCACCTACTCCTGCTTCAAGGAAAGTCTGACATACCTCTGGCCAGGCAGAGCTTGATTGTGAAAACTTTCAATACAAGGCACTGTGCTTCCTGACACCACCCCACAGTGGCGCCCATTCACACCCCCACCTGCTTCTTCTCCTGGTCTGCCCGGATCGCCACCCCATCCTCGTTCTCTTCCACCCCCTGAAAAGCCATCGGCCGTACTCGCACATAAACCTTCACTCTCTCATCGGCAGACCCATCCGGCAGCGTGTGAATGGCCGGTTTGCCCTCCCCCGCCCTGCTGTTCGAGCTCGACGTCCTTCTAATTCTGTACGTTGGCGCGGCCCCCCCGTTAGAGGACCTCCTGCGCCCCCCCTCGGTGCTGCCACTGCCGAGCCGGAACGTGCTCCCGTTGCTGACGTCAGCGCGGGTGCTGCTGACGTCACTGCGGGAGGAGGTGCGGCCGTAGCTGCCCGAGGGGCTGCGGAGGCTGGCTTCGCTGCCGGCGGGACTTCTAAATGTGCCCGGGGCCACATCGCTGCCTGAGGGAGATCTAAAGGTTCCGGACATGGCCTCGCTGCCCGTGGGGCTTCGGAAGGTGCTGGCGCTGGCCTCGCTAGTTGCGGGGCTGCGAGGCGCCTCGGGGCTGCCGATGAGGTCCATTGCCGGGAGTGGCATTTTGCAACTCTCCACTGGAATGCTCTGCTCTAAAAGTTGGCTAAGGGGCTTCGTTTGTCCGGTTCCACGGCAACGAAGCAGACTCTACAGCGGTCTCAATGCGGGAATATCGCCTGTGTTTGTTCAGGTTCTCACGTCAAAGGTGTGTCAGAGCACCAGCCTTTGGTTGCAAGGGCTGCTCAGATACTCGAAATGTGCCCTTCTTGCGGAAAAAGTGCCCCTTGATGAATCTTTTGGTGGCACTGCGCTGAGATCTACATTTCCAGGTGCTCGGTTGGGGACAGTTTTAGGCTCTACACCTTGCAGCATTGCAATTCTTGGCAGAAGCAGCAGAAGTCTGCTGCAGCCCCAGGATCTTAATCAGCCGGTGCAGCCACGGCAAATTACCTTTCCTGAGCTCTAAAGTACCGCTTCTGAACGCACCACCTAATGCTGCCCTTTCAGAGTCTGGTGGAGAGGATGCTTGCTCTGTGTCACAAATTTTGATAAGATCACTAGTTGCTGCTCTGCGCTGGGAAGCTGCCAGCCTTGTCTTGGAATAAGCTGTGGAATCTTTATCCAAAGCGGCTTCCTAGTCTTTTTCTCAGCATTCCTTTGTTTCTCTTCGACATGCCGAGAAAGAATGCCCCAGTGCAGAATCCTAACCAACGGGATTATGCTTGTCACGGCATTGCAATCACAGCACTAGACTTGACAATCCTTGTCCCATCAAACTTTGGCTCCCCCTGATCGAGACTTCGCAAGATTGCCTTTCCCTGATCAAGATGATCAGTCACATCAAACCCCTCGTGAACATGCACCTCACCGTTGAACGATTTTGCCTCCAACATGCAAGAATCAATGTTGCACGTCTGTGCATGCTACTCCAAAGCCGCCCCCATATTCCTCAATATAGTGCTCCTTACAACAATGCCGTGGAGCATTCAATCCCACCTGGATCTTGAAAATACCTGGAACGTCCTGCTACCTATCGACTTCATGACATGAAGGCACCAGACTACCGTAACCTACCTATGTGTGTACAACGTCCTCGTACACTGCAGGGTGCATCTTTTCCCGCCGGGGCATCAACGGCCCGCCAGGTTTGGAAATTTGTCGTTTGTCCACTTGTACGCAGCGCAGGCTCCACTCATGAGTAGAATCAAGCAGGTGACCGCTCGGTATCCTGACTAAACCGGCCGTTGACGTCATCACAAGGTGGGTTATTCGCGGAACAAAAGCACGGCCAACCGTTCAGATTTTGTTGAACGTGCGTCGACGCTCGTGCCAGGTCAGATTGTGAAGTCTGTTCACATCGCAATACACACCCGTCAGGGTTTTCACGGACTTTTGTCCCGGCCGGCCAGCTGCCGGCGCGCCCCCGGTTCTGCCGGCTCGGTAGCCAGCATTTGGTTTACCGGCCGGCTGAGCCCACTAAGCGCCTGCATTTTCTGCCGGCTGACCAGCCGGCAGGGTGCCTTCGGCACCGGCCGGGGTCTCTTCTCGGCCGGCCAGGTCCAAGTGTAGCTGCCGGCTGTGGGAAACCCTGACACCCGTGCTCTCCTGCTTTACATACATATTGTGCCACGATGTAAATTGGTTCCATTCAAGCTTCCTCTGCGCAGGACAGGGACAGACAAAGCTGAGCAGCACTGTGGACTTCGCCTGCAAGGGCAGCTGGCGCTCTTCAGCCGCTATGTGTCAATGGTAGAGAATCAAGCAACCCTAAAGATTGTCCCCTAGAGGAGTCAAGTAATTGGAGAGATGAAGGAAAAGCAGGCGCAAATGCTGTGGGATGAGGTTGACGCTGCGGAGAGGTGAGCTCAGGACAGCCTGCTCGCCTTGTGCTCCAATGGAGACACCAAGATGCTGATGCAAATGTTGGTCTATATGTGCACGGTGATTGTGATCTGCTACATGGATAAACGATCTCGACGGATTGACAGACTCGGCCTGCTTGAAGCGATGAGGGGTGGTAAAAGCTGTGACATTCACCAGCGTCTTATATTCAAAGATCAGGAAGGTTTCTAACCAATGATCTGGTCTTCTGTCTTTGTTTGGCTGATTTCTAAATGACAGCGAGTCATAACCTGCATTTCATTATCAAAACTTGCGCCCTCCTCAATTTCCACCCTCCCTGCCCCAACTTAGGTCTGCCAGGCATGCTCATTCGGCGGCACTCACACAACTCTTTCTCAAGCGTTCACTTGGAAGTCTCATCACTCCAAGTAATCGACGTCAATTGGCGGAGGTGAGGAAAATGATCCACTATAATGTTGACCATACTTTCTCTTCCCAGGCACCTGTTGTCTGGCGCCTTCTCCAAAGCGCAGGCCGCCGCTGCCGCCGTGCTTCTGAAGGCTTCGTCACTGAGGACCTCTGGGAAGTCTGCCGGGGCAGATCTCAATGATATTGTGGAGTCGTCCGCCATGGTCCTCTTGCAAGCACAGCACGAAAGGAGAAGGTAGGAGTCCCACTTTACGTTGACAGTCGTTTTTCTCTGGTCAAAGGTTTTGAGTGCTATCCTGGTACAGGAAGGATCAAAGTGAATGATCTTTACAGTGTCTGGCTAAGTGTCCATCAACCGAGCAAGTTTGATTGATTGTCACCTACTCGATCTTGGTCGGGAGTAGGGGCTGATCAGATTGTGTCTGCATTGACGTTTTGAATCAACGGTTTCGGAAACAGCGATGGCAAAATTGCGGTGACTGCGCACCTTAATTTAAAATAAAAGAAAAAACAAAAAAAAAACACCCCGCTACAAAATGACAGATGGACAGATCTTTCAACCCTCTTGGACAAACCGTAAATAACATACCGCCCTGCCGCCCGAGTGGTTGCTTTTGATGCCTCGTCGTGCTTGACCATGTATTAGCAACTCAGAGGTGCCCTTGACCTCAGCGCCTCTGAGCTTGCTAAGCTTTTTCTTTGCTGGTGTGCTCACATTGACGTAATTCGCTGACGCTTTTTCTGGTGCTTCTCTTCTCAGGCATGACGAGCTGGAGGGTCAGTTCCTCAAGGCCTTCTCAAAGCTGGACGCCATACCCCCCGAGGTGTTTCTCACATGGTAAGCTTGTTTTTGGTCATTGTCTCCAGCAGCCTGCCCCGTTGAATATCATGGTTAGCAGTCCATTGGCAGTTTCTTTCTGCTGCGCATACGGAAAGCCCATATGGAAGAGACTCCACTGCATGGGATAGATTGTTTCTTGCCCAAATCTTTTGACCCGCAGTCCTTTTTGTAACAACACGAGAACTCATATTCAGTTTTTTCATTTGCGCTTTTTATAGTCCTCATTAAGTCGTATGGCCTGTATATATGTTTGCACTCAGTCTAGATTTTCTGGCTTGCAGGTCATGTCTTCGGATTAAAGCTGGCGACAAAGACGGTGCAGAAGAGGCTGTTGCGGAGTATCTGAAGTTACGAGGCAAGGAGCTCGATCGGCGGGCCGGGTGCTCTCTGGCGGGCTTATACACCCTGGACCTGCTCTGCGAACACCGTAACACTCCTCAGCAGGCGGAAGACTGGTTGCACGAGCAGTCCGGATGGCTGGACGGGGCAACGATCAGGGTGAGTGCCTTAGACAAGAGCCTCACGTGCGAGAAATCTCCGCACAACAGATGGTTACGAAAACCCCGTAATCCTGCGCTTCAAACGAAGTGAAAAGTTTCAGAGGACGTTTGATTCGTCCTCTGTGAGTGCCTTCAAGGCTCCTTTCTCGGCCTCGGCTGTTTAGTTCTCCAGTGTTTCCCTGTTCTGTTTTCTGCCCATGGATACTTGTGGCCCTTTTGATGCTTTTGCTGCACCTTTGTAAAATGTCTCAGGTAACATACCCTACTTTTGACGGGCCCGTTTCTCGTTGCTGAACATGATTGGGTTGGCAGCATCCACTGCTCTTCGAAGCTATTGTGAAGCCCCCAATTACGAAGCCTCGAGTCCAGATGACAAGGGAAGAGGTTGTTAGAGAAGCTCTATCGTCCGTGCAGTTGCTGCTCAAGAAAGTGAGAAGGCGACAGCTGCGCTCGAACTCTGCTTCAAAACGCACCGTCGAGGCCCCAGACCAAAAGACAAACGGACACCTCCCAAGCCCTGCTCCTTCTGCCGATTGCCCTGCCAAAGCCACCTCCGTACCTTCATCGTCACCGTTCATCGATCCTCCAGAAACCTCTAACCGAGACAGCGCCCTTCCCGAGCCGTCAAGCAGCGTAGATCAAAGAGGCGTGTTCGATCCGCCGCCCAACCCTTCGGAGCGGAATGGCAGTCGAGATCTGCGGCTATCATCTGCGGGTCCGCGCAGCGGCTTCCTGTCGTGGCTGCTATACTGGGCGGCCTTGGCTCAGGGCTGGTGGCGAAGGGCCTGGCAGAACGGACACCAAAAGTGGCGCCAAGTGACGGAAGACGGGGGTGGGCGGGCTCTTCTAACGGTGCTCGCGGCGGGGTTGTTCCTTTACGCAGTTATCAAGGAGCGGGCCACACTTAAAAGGTGAGGCTGTCAGGCTAAGTCGTCAAAAGTTTTCAAGGGGTGGGCTTCGGTCTCGCGCGATGAGGTTGTCGCGTTCCTATGGAATAAGTAGGAGCAGCTTGGGTACCTCACGTCAGTTTGGGGACAGTGGTCAGTTCGTCGTTGATTCTGCGGCGATTTTGTCAGCGGTTCATGTTGATCTTTCTGGCAGACCTGCTGACACGTCAAGGAAGTTCAGCTGACGAGCCAACATGATTATCTTATGTTGTTGATGTGCCAGACATAGGGTGTGCAGATTCAAATGATGGTGGTTCTCTGTTCCGCTTCGTATTTGAGAAATTTCTGCGTTTCACTATGTTGGAATGAACACCGTCACTTGCAGGCCTGAAACACCTCTCTCTCACGCAGGCATCTTCGGAAGGCGCTTCACAGCTGTCAGCAAAATCTCTCGGATCTCTACGAGTTAGCTTTTAGCTACAGCATGAACCCGTTGGCCACTGCCGCTCAATTGAGCGCCCAAGCTGTACCCCGATCGTGATTTGTAGCCGTCAATAAATTAGATGGCACTAGGTAGAATTGCAACCGTCATTGTAAACGATCATGTCGGCGCACATACAAGCCATTCACAGTATAACTGCTAGCTTGTCGATTGCATTCGATGTTTGTAGTGATTGAATCAGTTCGACACATGTGATGTTATATGAGTCTTTGGTACGTGTCGGAAATGGGGTCACGGATGTATATGCATCCACGCGCTGCAGCCATATATCAACTTATACAAAAGCATATATGCAGCAGAGTGTTGGTCGCCGCTTTAGGTTCAATAACCGTCATGGTCATGGCTTCTCTGCACCGCCAGTCCATGGCTACTTCATGACCAATGCCTGACGTGGCCCATGCAATGTGCAGTTGGGGATGCCTTGTCCCGATTAGATGGCAAAGGAATTCTTGCAGCAGTTAGTATTAATCCGTCCCCACAACACTGTACTATGTCACACTGATTATGATATCGTTTTTCCCAGTCTTCTTTGAGAACTATCAGGAAAAGTATTTTGTGGAGAGTACTACGCTCTTTCTGGACATTTGCTCAGCATACCCCTGTTTATTAATGTGCAGATCTGTTGCTACCATTGCTTGAACTGTATACAGGCACCCACGGGCAACCACGAACCAGTCCCGACGCTCGAGCTGACGAGCTTGGTATGCTTAGAATAGAGCATGAGCATTTACTGACATGGACGAGGGGCAATCAAAGAAAATCCAAACGACGGATCGCATCACCGTCGTTGGGCTGCTGGGCGCGGCTGCCTTGCTTGAACAAGCTCCGAACGAATGCTGCTTAGGAGGACTAACAGGACGATGAGGATTGCCCACAGGAAGACGTGGGTCGTTTGCAGCTTGCTGACAAACTTGTCCGCATCTCCGAGCGTTGCTGTGAGCGGGCGCACCTGCAACAAGGACACACCAGGCGAATCTAGATACGTACGCTTTCGACACCCAAATGCAGACAGCTTTTTCACAGGTGCCCCAACAATAGGTGGAGCGTCATGATTACTGGGCAGATAAACCCAGAGGTCCACTAGATTGCCTCTGAGCTGATGGAACAACTTGCACAAGTCCCAGTTCTTGATGTCACATCTAAACACATTGCTTAAGGACGGTAGAAGCGGGGCAGAAAAAGGCCAAAGACACGCTGTCGGAATCTGAATACATATAAATGGTGGCGATCAACCACCATGAATATCCTGGAAGCCCAGTTCAAGCCCCATTCAATCTCAACCCAAAAGTCTGCAGTTACAAGCAAAGATTGCTACCTTCAAGGTTGAGAAGCAATCAGAGGCTAGTCAGCTCGTCGGTAGCAGCACAGAGTATCAACGGTGCGTTCGAATTGATTCAGGCGCCCAGTGTGTCTACTTTCTGTGACTCAACTTTTGTTTGACTGGGTGTCCATTCAGCATTGACTGAGGATTTGTAGTCCACTCACCACCAATTTGAGTCCCTGTTTCACGTACTGCCATGGTACCGATCCCTTCACCGATCCTTGCGAAGCCCTCGAAAGCGCGACAAACACCTGTCCGAACTGATACAAACTGAAAACGGAAACAAGGAGACAGAGAGGAGGCCCGAAGACAAGCAAAAGAGGAAGTGTCTCGTAGAAAGACATTTTGCCAGGGGGGGGAATCTTTCCTGAGCTATCCTATCTCCTGAACAAAGAAGGCGGCCAACGCCGCCGACGGCAGCAGCCTGAGAGACAAAATTGTGCTTCTGTACCTAAGGCTAAGGCTATGGTCAGCTGGCTCGAGAGTCGAGACTTGGAACGGAGTCTAAACGGAACGGAGTCTAAACGGACTCCGCTGAGGGGTGCGGCGGAACAGAGTACAGTTAGTGGCGGTGAGGGTTTTCCGTTGAAGCTGTCAGTGTAAACGTACCCCGATGCAAAATTGAAAACTGGAGACTTTTCGACGTCGATTACTAACCCACATTTCTAAACCAGAGCCTTAACCCTCTGTCCTTCCGTCCGCCTTCATTCCGTGCAGCTGAATCAAATTCCCGCGTAAATGTTCAAAGTATTGCATTGCATTGTATGGTCAGTCTCGGAGAGTCAGACTCATGCTGACTCAGTGACAAATGAGCGTGAATGCCTCAGGCTCAGACTCAGAGTCAGGGCTCACGCAAGCTCTGGACGCTTTGCATTGGCAAGCAACTTAGCAAGGGACGCAGCCAGACGCAGCTGCCGCTGCCATGGGCTTTGATCGATTGCTGCAAGCTCTCACTGGTGCAAGCCGACTGTATTGATCACAAGGGTTGAAGTCTCACTGGTTGTGTCATGAGTTGAGAGCCGTGGGGGAATCAGCAGCATGTCAGTGGCAATGCAAGAAAGCTCCAGGTGTGCAGATCATAAGCGTCAAGCGCTTCTTGACCACTCAATAATGGGGTGCTTTGTTGTGGTGTCACGCATGTGACAGGATCTGGAGCTGGTCTCTCGGTTGCAGAGATATAGCCTCCTTCTTGAGAGAGCATACATGCTCAACAGCCTGGATGCTAATGCTTCAAGACCTAGTCATTAATAGTGAAGCTTCTGTGTGTTTCAAAGAGTAGCAGCATGGATCGCGCTCGCAGTGTCGTCCGCGCTGATCCGAACCCTCACCAAGAGATGCGGTCGCGGATAAGAAGACTCTTTGATGTCTCTGACAAAAAGGATGCACGCCCCACCCGTTCGAGTGCAAGTGCGAGTGCGAATGAACGAACCCCTACCTTACCGGGAAGCAAGATGCAGGGCGATATCACCGAAGAGCACATTGAGGGAGTCTTGGACTGGCTCCAGACAGTTGTCAGAGATGGACCGATGGTGCGATCGTTTGAGGGACTCAGAGACGGGGTGAGTACAAGTACTGTGGAAGCATGAGTTGGTGCCCGGACCAGCAACGCCTTGCCCGCTGTTTGACGTACTGAAGGTCCGTTTCTTATTTGCTCTGAGTGAAAGACGCTGTGGAAAGGTACTTCCTTCCAAGCTAGCTCGGCTGGCATTGACGCGTGTGCGCACCCTCGATATGCAGGTTGTCCTCTCGCAGGCTGCCCGAGACATTCTGCCCAGCACACCTAGGAGCCTGGTTGCTGACCCAAAGCTGGAACTGATTGGTATACTAGCAGCACACTATGAACAGGTCAGAACTTGGTTGCTCGTCGAGTATTTGACATGGCGGATGTTCTCTCTTTTTGGCAAAAAGAGAACAGACAAGCCAGTTTCTTGGTGATCAGCATAAATACACGGCAGATACACTGAGTGACTCTCATGGCTCCTTGAGCTGCAGTGATCTTGTGTCCAACATGTCACTGCGGGTGCTAACAGGTCCCTTTCTAGTAACAAAGGCAGTGCCTTTATGATATAGCATGAGCAGACGGGGAATACACTATCCAAGGATGATTGGCATGTCACTGCACCCTTGCGTCAACAGCCTGATGCGGGTGCTTGCACTGTGTAGGAGTTGCACGCCCCAACAGAGGCTGCTGCAGTAGGTCCTGACGTTGAAGCTGCAGCCGCAGGCGACTACAGCGCCTTGCTCAGGCTTGTGCAGAGGGTAAGGATCGCATAAAAGTCACGAGCTGAAAGGATCCGTATTTCGGAGACTGTGGCTCTCCTATGTAATCAATGTTCAACCAGATGTTGCAAATGTTACGTATTGTCTGGATAGAGGCATGTCTGCTGTCCCCTCCTATGCCTGCTTGCCGGCCCTGACTCCAGTCCTTTTTTGCAGCTATTGTTTGCTGCCCTCACAGGGCCCAAGAAGGGACAATATCTTGATGGCGTTCTCGCTCTTAAGCGAACCTCTCAGGTCAGTCTGCATTTAGAAGATGTTCTTTTCCAGGTGCTTGCTCAAGAACTCTGCTAGACTGCAGTGTTGCTGTGTTCCTGTACCGTGGTGCCTCAGTTTGCACTTCATCCAAGGGAATGATTTTATCCATCTGACAGGCGCTCTCCTTTTGTCAAGCAGAGAACGGTGTTGAGATTGTACCGAGCTTACGAGGAAGTTCTGAAGGAAGCAGGAGAAGGCCCTGTGCACTGGGTAAGCTCCAAAGTCAAAAAGGCGAGACCTTTTGTGCGGTCCGGAAGGCAGACTTTGCGGAGAGTCCGCAAAAAGGTTTGCTGTGAGCAAACTTGGAGGTAGCTTCTCTGGTGCTGTGGCAGATTATCTTTGGCTACCCAGCTGACTAATCCCAAAGTGCTGAAGCTTACCAATCCCCTTGTTGGATGTACAGACATCGGTGGACCCATATGAACAGGCCCGGGTCAGGGAGCAACTGAGTATGGCTCAGGAACAGAGCTCTAGTCTGCAGGTGAGGTGCTCTCACCACAGTGAATTTTTCTCATTGAAGCAGAAAAGATCCAATTTGCGCACCTTTAGTTTTGCATCATCATTCGCTTCCATTCTTTGACTCGCAGTCATCATTACATAACCTGTTGCCTTTTTATGAACTGCATAACATCTGTTTTCGTTACTCTGAAGGCTGAGAAGGCCTCTCTCCTGGAAGCCACGAAAAGCAAGGAGGCGCAAATGGCGGCCCTGTGGCTGAAGCTGGAAGCAAGGGCGGCTGAAGTCCAGGAGCTTCAACAGTGCAACAGAGAGTTACAGGAGGATCAGGCGAAAAGCGCACATGAGCACGAGAATCTGAGAGACGCATTTTCCGGTTTGCAGTCGAAGCTTCAGAATGCTTTGAACGAGAAGGACCGTTTGCAGGTGAGAGTCTTTCTGCCTCCATCCTTTGACCCACTCTGATGCACTTTGCGTCGCGCTTTTGTGAACCAACTCTGATGACAGGCAAGCTTAGGGTGCCGTTGGAGCCAAGACCACTACAGTTCCACAAACGTTGAATTTGTGTCGTTTGTGGTTGAGCTACTTGTAGTAGGCTTTGAATTGGCAGTAAAGGTAGGACGCTCGAAATCAAATTGGGCGTAATCTCCTCTCCTGCCTTGCAGGCCCAGCTTTATGATGCCGAATCAGCGCAGCTTTCGCTGCGGGACAATCTGGAAGCGGAGAACAGCCGCCTCAAGGGCATGGTAGAGCTGGGGAAAGCAGAAGAGCTGCGGCTGGGGGCAGAGATCCTTGTCTTACGGGAGCGACTGCTGTTGGGCGCAGAAGGCCGGGGTGAAAGAGAGACACGACTCATGGTAAGAGTGAAGCAAAGAGTTTTGCCGCCTTCTTCCGGATTGCCTCAGCTTCTGAAGCTTGGGGGCATCAACTGTGATACTTGTATTCTCCACACCTGCGTCTTTGGAACAGTTGACAAGGATCCAGTCTCAATTTTCTAAGTGATATCTAGGTTTGTATCGTCGAAGCAAGAAGTGCTCATTCTGTTGAGTGATCTTTTCTCTGTCTTTGAGCCTGTGTTTCTGCCATCAGCTGAGATCGCTGACAATCCAACCCCTGCTCAATCCAGGAGGAGATTGAGCGGCTGCGCAGTGAGAGCGACCGGCTGCGCAGTGATGCAAACGAGCGAATGCTGGAGATTAACAGCATGCTGCGTGAGAAAGAGCGCTGGAATGAGAGGGCCATGACCGCTGAAGTCGCTAAGGCGGCTGCGGAGGCCAGTGTCAGGGCCGGCAAGGAGCGGTGCGAGGAGCTCAAAGAGGAGCTGGAGAAAGCAAACGTTGAGAAGGCTCGGTGAGTCAGGGCGGATACTTCTGCTGCTGTTAGAGAAAGACAGGGATGACCGCGAGCGCACATCTCCTGGCAAATTGGAGGGGCCTACGTCAATTCGAGAATGAGGAATTATAGCAAAATCAGGAGAGGACATAGAAACCGCTGGGAAGGATGGGGTGCTGCAAGTTTAGACTTTCTTAGTCGTTCGACGTTTGTCCATCGTGTCTTCACACCTCTGTACACTTTCGCCCTGCTGCTGTTTAAAGATTTGAAAGAAACTTCCTCGAACGCCCCAGCTTCAAAACCTTCACTTCTTTTTCTGACCATTGCGCTCGTCGTCTTCAGGCTGTCGGACGAGCTGCAGAACGCCGTCAGCGACGCATCCCGAGAGCACGCGACTCGCGTCCGCGTGCAGCAGACTCTCGACGAGGAGCTCGCCGGCTTCACTCGGACCATGGAAGCAGTGGCCGCAGAGAAAGCGCAACTGGTTCGGGAGGCGGAGGGGATCGCCGAGGAGGGCGAAAGGTCGAGAAAGGAACTGACGAGCTTGCGGGCGGAGTGGGACAGTCTCAAGGCGCAGCACGCGAGAGTGGAGTCGGAAGCGGGACGGAAGGAGGCGGAATTGGTTTCTGAGGTGGAGCAATTGAGAGAGGAGGGGGAGAGGCTGCAGCAGGCGATGATTGCGCTCCGGAGGGACTTGACGGCGAAGGTTAGGGAAGGGGACGAGATGAAAGAGGAGCTGTGGGGCCTGCGGACCGAGAAAGAGGAGGCCGAGAGCGAGCTGGAGGGGATGAAGGAAGAAGCGGCGCGGCTGAACGAGACGCTTGTGCGGACGAAAGCGCTGTTCGAGGAGGCGACGCAGGAGATCGGTCAGGCGACGCGCGACGTCATCGAGGCGCGCACGCGGGCTGCGCAGCTGGAGGGGCGGCTCGAGGAGGAGCGACGCGAGGGGGTGGAGAAGAGTACGGCGATCACAGCGTTGAAGAAGGAACTGGAGACTGTCGAGGACCAATTGGAAGGTTTGCTGGTGAGCAGCAGGGCAACGATTGGAACGAGGGAAGAAGAGCTGCGGGCGAAGATGCGGGAACTGGAAGAGAAGGTTGGCGAGATCGGACGGTTAGGAGGCGAACTCCGGGAGCGGGATCAAGAAGCCCAGCGTCTGGGGGCACAGGTCGGCGCTCTAAGCGCCGCGCTTGAGGAAACCTGCCAGGAGTTGCAGGGGACGAAGACTGCGCTAGAGAAGCTTCAGTCTGGCCTGGCAGCGGAGCAGACTCGCAGCACGGATCTTGCCTCCCAGTGTGAGAAGCTGGAAGAGGCGTTGGAAAAGGAGCGGATTGCAGCGGTCGCTGTGAGGGTGCAACTAGAGGAGGTATCGGAGCAAGAGTCTGCGTTGCGGGAGATGCTCGGACGGCGGGAACGGCAGCTGGTGGACGCCGAGCGCGAGATGCAGGGCGTCCAGGGGGAACTGAAGGCGACCCGTCAGGAGGTGACACGTGGCAGCGCGTCAGTGGCTGCCCTGCAGGCCGAGGTTGGCCAGCTGAACGAGCGGAACCACCAGTTGGCTCAGGCCCTGAATTCTGAAAGCCAGCGGTTGAGGGTGTCGACTGAGGAGGGGGCGTCGCTTCGAGCAGAAAAGGAGGGGCTTGAGCGACGACTGGGGAATGTGGAGGAGGAAGTCCTAAGACTTGCTGCGGAGCTGGCTCGTTCCGAACAGTTTGGAGCGGATTTGACCGGCGACAAAGCGGCCTTGGAAAGGGAGTTGACGGAGACCGAGGCCCGCCTGCGAGAAATACAGGCTGAGTTGGAAGAAACAGCAGCGGAGCTCGCAGATACTAGCGCTGAGTTGGACCGCAGCAGAAAGCATGTAGCCAGTCTAGAAAACAGCGTGTCGAACTTGGGTGGTCACCTGAGGTCCACTCGAGAAGGGATTAGCAGCCTAGTTGCAGAGCTCGAAACGGAGAAACGAATGCACAAGGAACTAGAGGCGGCGTTAGGTGTCGCTGAGGCCGAAGGGGCGGCGTTGGAGGAGCGCCTCTCCTCCTTGCAAAGAGACTTGGACGGAAGCAGGGCGGAATCCGCTGCTCGGTTGGTGCGGGTGGCGGAATTGGAAGGCAAGCTCGAGGAGAGCGAGCGGAAACGGACCGAGGGCCAGAAGTACATTTCGGAACTGCAGGCGGGGTTGGAGCGCGCAGTTACCGAGGGCCAGCAGCGGAACCGCCAGCTAGTGGAGATGAGTGAGACGGCGCAGAAACTGCGGGTCGACCTGGCGGAGAGTTGTGCACAAAAGGACGTGCTTGCTCGAGAGCTTGAGGCTGCGGAGGAGGAGGTGCGCGAACGCGAGGCGCGCATTGGCAGGTTGACGGGCGAGCTGACGCGGCAGGTGGAGCGGATGGAACTAGAGCGGGAGAAAGTTGCGGCCTCGCAGGCCGAGGTGGAACGGCTGGGGGCCGAGGTGGCGGCCAGCGTTGGGGAAGGGGAGAGGCTCGCGGAAGAACTAGCGGCGGAAGTTTCTCGGTCTCAGGAGAAGGACTCAAAGATTACAATGCTGGAAGAATCGTTGGAGGAGGCCAACGGGAAGGGCGACCAGCTTAGAGCGAAACTGGGCGCAACTGAGGCTGCGCTGGAAGCGGCGCAGGTGCAGATCACGGAGATGACGTCAGCGCTGGGGGCCCGGGACGTGACGGTGCACGAGCGGGACGTCAGCATCGAGAAGATGGAGCATGAGTTGGAGCAGTTCTCGCGGATGGTGGGGGCGCTGAATGAGATCAACTCCAAGAACGAGGAGGAGATGCGGCTGATCCGCTTGAAGGTGCGGACACCCGGGGAGTTTCTTAGCTAATGCAGTAGACACAGTCTGAAATCTGGAAAGGTGCCTTTGTCTGCTTCCCTTGGTACTGCGTCCTAACGATTTGCTCCTAGAAGTACGAGGGCCCAAGAGGGACGGACGGTTTGATACATGAAGAATTTCGATTCCAACATTCCAAACGCAAAGCCCTCTCTCTCAGTGATCTTTGATCTCATTGAAAAGTGTTGATTCCTTGTTTTCCGCGGTAGGTCTCTTATCTGTTCTCCGCAGTCCCGGTGATCTCAAAATGAAAGTCCGGCGTACACTAACAATCCATGCAGCATTTTCCCCCTGTTTTCCAAGGTAGAGCTGTCCGCTCTAATCAATGTACCGCTCCTCCCCTGTCAGGTCGTCGACATGGAAGGCCAGCTCGAGGTGAAGACCCACGAGCTGTTTGACTTGGAGGCTCACTCGCGCTCCCAGGAAAGAGCCTACGAGCAGAAGCAAAACGAGCTTGAAGAGTCGCTCAAGGAGAGCCAGAGCGAAAACGAGGCGCTCGTCGCCAGCAATGCTGAGCTGGCGAATCTGCTGGAGGATAGCAGGGCGGCTGTGACCGACAAGGTGAGGCGGAAGCGCGCTCCTTGTGCTTTGTTGGCCGTAAGAAGTTTCTCTCCATAGGCCTTTTCCGTTGCCCTGTTTACCCACTTGTAGAAGCAAGACTTCTGGCGGGCAATGAACCCCAGCAGCAAACGAACTCTTCTGATTATGAACAGAAGAAGGATGACGAAAAAGGAAGTCTGGGCGCCCGCTCATCAAACACCGTACGTGGCGTTCGGTATTCGATCATTGCCGATCGTACTAGGCGGACTCGCCGATCGCTGCCTACAGTACTTTTCCGTTTTACGATCGTTCTCACCAATCTCTGTTTTTTCAGGATGCGCTGCTCGCTGAGAAGGACCAGCTCGTCACCGAGATGGAGGCCAACCTGGAAGACGTCAAGACCCTCCTCGAAGAGATGGACGCATCTGCGGAGGCGCTGAGAGCGGAACGGGAGGCCCTGCTCGCGGCAAAGTCGGCCCTCGAAACCAGCACTTTGGAGAAGAACGCCCGCGTACAGGGCCTCGAGCGGGAGCTGAGCGGAGCCCAAGTGACGCTGCAGCGGAAGGGCGAGGAGTTGGACGGATTCCGCGGCCGGTTAGAGCGGCAGTCCGTCGACATCAAAACTCTCCAAGAGGCCTTGTCGTCCAACGAAGAGCAGCTGGCATCCGCGAAAGAGAGTCTTCGAAGCAAAACGGAGGAAGCAGCGCGCCTCGAAACGGAGCTCCGGTCGCGGCAGGCGGACGTGGCGAGGCTGTCGGCGGAAGCCCAGGAGGCGGAGACGAGACTCGGGTCTCTAGAAGCAGCCGTCAAGCAGGGGAAGCTCTTTTCGGACACACTCCAACAGGAACTAGAGCGGGCTCAGGAGCAGGCACGGACGCTCGAGAGGGCTGCGGACAAGTTGAAGCGGGAGCTGGCGGATCGCACGTCCGAAAGGGACCGGGCGGTGGAAGAGGCAAAAGAGAGGACGGAGGAAGCAGAGACGGCGCAGAAAGCGGCGACGGAATGGGCGAGGAGATGCGCGGCGGCGCGGCAGGAGGCGGACGAGGCGAAGCTGGATTTGGACCAGGCGAAAGTGGAGGAGGCACAGGTGGGTCTGCTGATCTGACCATGAAATGCTTGGAGAAGGGTGATCTGTTCTGACCACTGCGGGTCCGAATGCAGTACTTTCGCCTGTCCTTGGGAGCAGTGTGTAGAGAGCGTGAGGCTTAGCAAGAGCGAGGGAGACATTGTGTACTCCCTGTGTGCTTTAAGAAGAGGATTGTCGGAGGAAAAGAGTGGCCCCCTGATCGACGTATGTTTGAACTGTGCACAACAAATCTGTGCGTGAAAGGAAGTCCAGTCAATTCTGTGTGATCTTATATTCAAAGGCGCAAATCAGGCAGACTGTGTGTAGCGAAGCAGATTTGCATTTTGGAGGTGCATTGCGAAAGGCCGTTTTGATTCATGTGCAGGTGCGCCGCGAGTTGAGCCACGCCCGCAGCCAGCTCTCGAGCGAGCAGCAAGAATACGAGAACCTGTCGGAGCAACTAGCAGCGGCGCAAACGGATGCCCGGCAGGCGCGTGCTGAGGTCACCTCTCTGAAGCACACGCTGGGACTCGCCCACCAAGAAGCGCAGGATGCGGAAGAGCGCCTCCAGTCAGCGGTCAAGATTGCGGGCGAGCTAAATAGTCGGCTCCAGCGGCAGGAGGAAGAGGCGGTGGAGCTGCGGGCTGCGCTGGAAAAGAAGGTCAGCGCGTTTGAGCAGCTGGAGACATTACTGAGCGTGAAAACTGAAAAGCTGCAGAAAATAAAAGCGGAGTTGAATGCTGTACAGACAGAGCTGGAAAGTGTGCGGACGGAAGCGGAGACTAGGAAAGACGAGACTGCGGCGCTTTGCGTTGAGTTGGAGACGGTCCGGTACGCCCTCGCACAGAAGGATGCGGCGTGCGAGGAAGTAAGTCGGCAACTAGAGGGGGCGAGGGAAGAGATGCTGGGGGTGACTCAGGAACTAGAGCGGGGTCGCGAGGCGGTGCGGGAGCTGGAGGCGACTTGCGAACGGACGGCTGCAGAGGCCCGCGCGGCGTCGGAGAAAGTTTTGGAGGAGCACTGGGCGGCAACAGCCGAATGGGAGGCACGCCTCGAGAAGAGCGAAGAGGACATGGGCCGGTTGGAGTGCGATTTGAGAGGCGCTATCGAGGAGCGGGAAGCGCTTGCCAAGGAACGGGACGCGCTTACCGATGAGGTGGAGAAGAAAGCGGAAGAGTTGCGGGCAACGCTTGAGGAGATGACAGCTGTCAAGGGCCAATTGGCGGAAGCGTCGAAGATCGCGGAGGGTTTGCGGGCGGAGGTTAAGAAAGTTGGGGAGGAAGGGGCGGCTGCGCTGCGAGCGGTGCAGTCTGAATATGATCGGCTGCGGGGGGACTTCAGCGAGGATCTAGGAAGGGCAACGGCCGAGATGGAGCAGGTGGGAAGCCGGTGAAATCATTCAATGCTTCATCATTTGCGATCGATGTGAGATGTGATAACTTCCCTTGCGAGGAAAGTGAATCTCGTTGTTCTCGCAGGCGAAGCAGCAAGATGGTACAAGCGTCTGTCCAGGCACTGAGAAAGCACTGCGCGAATGCTTCACAAGCGGACTGCCAGCATTTGTGTCTGCGCAGGTAGTCCTGCAACGCTACATCAGTTTTCTCCCTTCTCCCTTGGTCGCTGTACCTCCCGGCTCTCATCAAGTCAGCTTTTGCAGGGCGTAAAAAAGGTCCAGTTACTAAGCAGATCGGCCCCTCTGCTGCCCAATAACAGGATTCTTGTACTGCGCAGGTGGTCGCTGCGCTGGACGCGTCTCGGACTGAGCTCCGTGCCCGGTCCGACGAGGCCGACGGCCTGCGGGAAGAGTTACGAGAAATGGCCCAACGGTTGCAGGCGCTTCAGGGGACCGCTGACAGAGAGAAAGAGACGGGGGAGAAGCACAGGATCGCCGCTCTAGTTCTACAGAGCGAGGTGAGCGTAGAATCCGTCCCAAAAGCACGGAAGTGGCGCGTAACGCTGACGAAGGAGAAGTTGTCTTCAATTGCATCAAGGCGTCCTTTTTGAAAGCGTGCTCTTCGTATACTACTCGTCAACACTGCCCTCAAGTACAAGTGCTTTTCGTTGCATGCGGATGAATTGGCCCCAACATCTCTGCTGTACTGCTTGTTCTACACTTACATGCTTCTTGTCTAATCGTCCTTTCAACCACTCAATCGTTCAGGCCTTTTCCTTAGACACTCAAGCCTGCTCTTTTGTTCAACCCTGTCCTTTTCTTGCTTCCAGCTGGACGCCATTCACAGTCAACTGGCGGCCGCTCTCGCTTCGCTGCCCCCCTCTAACAGTCAAGAGCTTGCCCCCTGGTCGCCTAATCGAGCCGCAGCCCTGCTAGAGGACACGGCGACGGCGGACGAGGTAACACGCCCAAAACTCAATCTGCGCTTACGCGCCTTCAGTCTGCTTTTGCATGCCTCTGTAAGCCCTCCGTAGCTCCTCGTTTCGGTCAAAATCCAGCTACGAGGCTCCCGTTCAGGAGGTTATGGCTTGCTTCCACCTTCCAAGCGATCGTCTATCTGATTTGAGCCGGTCAAACAGATTATGTCCAAGTGCAGGCGCGCACGGAATCTGCGGCGCTTTGACGTCTCAATGTGTCCCCTCGACCGATGCGGCGTTCAACATTTGGCCTTTGTATCAGGTTAAACGCATAAGATGCTTAGCAAATCGTCTATCATTGGTGCAGGCTGATGGTGCCGCTCTAGTTGCGGCCGAAGAGATGGAGCAATCAGCAGATGAAGGCCGCAACAGCACGTCGCTACTGGCCTCGATCAGCGGCTATATTGAGAAACTGCGGGCCGATCTGGACGAGAAGCAGAAGGTGGGTCCTCGACCAACCGATCACATCTGTTGCGCAAGAGGTTGCGTTGAGGTCCATCAAAGTTGCTGGCGTCGACCCGGCTCTCCTATCCGTCTTTGCCGCACTCTGCTTTGGACATCTGTATAGCCAGGAAGGGAGAGAGAGACCTACTTTGTTTGGCGCAGTACAAAGCTCTGCTGGCCATCCACGTCAATAGTTCTGTTTCAAAGGTACTGCTTCCTAGTTCGAGCAGGATCGGCTTAACACACTTGCCACAAGTCATCTAAAACCGACTCAGAACGTTCTCACCTCTTGCCAGGTACAGAGTTTATAAAGTATTTAACCATTTCATACTCCCCTCCCTTTATTTCGCCACTGGAGGCAGCACCGCGAACATTACAATGACGTTGCTGAGTGTCTGAACCTTCTCCTCCCCGTTTCGTCTTTCCGCCAGTTTCCGCGATAGAGCAGCGGTTGATGGTTGCGGAAGGTCGCAATCCGGTCGCCAGTCCCGTGTGACTATCTCGTTTTCTACGCCTTTCAGAATTCCACAGCAAACCCACCTGACAACGCTGAAGTCCCAAACCTTCGCCCCTATTTTTCATTTCCAGGCCCTCTCCGCAGCGGAACAGCGACTGAAAGACGTGGAAGGCCGTCATACTCCACGCGTTCAATTTACCTCTGTAGGCAGAAGAGCAGACTCAAACCATGTCACGTAATTTATATGCTTGCGCCCCCCTTTCTTCCTTTCTCAGGGCCTTTCCTCAGCACAAGGGCGTGGCGTGGACGACCGTCAGATTCTATCCTTTCACTTAAAAACGAAAGCAGCAATGCAAACCCAGACTACGTCGCTACGAGCTTACTCCCCCCCCTTTTTTGTTTCTTCAGGCCCTCTCTGTAGCGGAGCAGCGGTTGAAGGACGTGGAGGGCCGCCAGTTCTGTGTCACCATTTCAGTTTCTACGTCTTTCGGTTCCGCACGTAAGGCAGCACAGCAAACCCTATTGACAATGCTAGTTTTAGGATTATAGGATTTTAGGGTCTTCATTCTAAACCTTCGCCCCTCTTTTCTCTTCCAGGCCCTCTCCGCGGCAGAGCAGCGGTTGAAGGACGTGGAAGGCCGCATGTCCTGCGCGGCCGCCATCGACCTGACGCTGCTCAAGAACGAAAACGCCGCGCTGCAGCAGCAACTAGAGACGGCGGAGAAGCTGCGGCGGGAGGCGGGCGAGATGGCGGCGCGCGAGCAGCAGATGGTTACCACCGCGTTCTACGAGGTCAACATGCGCTACCAGAAGTGAGGCCGCTCGTCACGCCGCTCTAGTTGCATTATGAAGGGGCTTCGCCGCGTTGCTTGAGGCTCAATTTCGGAGGACCTCCGCTCTGGTGTTTGTATTGCTAGTTACTTGAGGCGCCACTTTAGTTATTCTTTCTACGGGGGCTCGGCGGAACGTCTAAGGTTTAAATTGGGCTCAGGCCATTTTGCTTGAAGAGGAGCGACTTTGCGATTGGCGCCTCTCTTCTCCCGACGCCCACTGTAAGGCCGCAAATCCTACGGCTGGCGCCAGGTGATGACTTGCCGTCAAGGTGTGAAAAGGGGCCGGTGCGTGACAAGTTGATGCGAAGCGGCAAGCAACAGTTGGGCAGACGGGAATTCAGCTACGCAAAATCTAAGGATGTCACCATCGGACTGAGTCAATTTCGACTTGAGTGCATTCAGTACTTTAGTTTCAGATCTTCCTAAGCTTGCAGCGCCCTCCCGAGAGTCCTCAATGAAGACAAATGTTGCTCCGTCTTCTCGAGGAAGTCCAAGCTTTGATTATCAGAACCCATACCAGCTACGCTCCATCCAGGCTGCAATTCGACATCCGCAACGGAGCTCTTGCTCCGCCCACTCCATCTCCGAGCGAAGCTTCGACGCCTCTCCAAACATCGCACCGCTTTTCGCTTGGAGGCCCTTCTGCCAGCAACTTTACGCTGAACACCGACTTCCGCGCATCGACGCCCGCGCCTTTGTCATCTACCGTCCGGCCCCAATCGTCCGCAAAAAAGGCTAGCGACGTCCTCCGGGCGTCACAGGAGTTCTTGCGGACGTCCGGGGAGTTTCTCCGGAGGCCAGCGCCGGTGGTGCCTTTGGGCGACCACCAGCCCAGACAACAGCAGGCGCGGTCGCCATCCCTGAAGACGGTAACGGACAAGCTGCGGGCATCGATGGCTTTGCCGCCCAGTAAGTCAACCTCGCGAGAGCGGTCAAAGGAGGGGAGCGATTGGCTGTCAGCTGAGAGCAGGGCAGCTTCCGAGGCTGTTGGGCGCAAAGGAAATAGTGGCAGTCCAAACATGAAGATGAGGACGCCTTCTACACCGATGCATCGGATTATATATGAACGTTAAAAGGAGGAGTCTGCTGCACTGCTTTGCTTTCGAGTACACAGTGGATATCGCTCTCATGTACGAGGTATTTTAAATCAAAACTGGCCAGTTTCCACTAGATCATGGACAACAGTACCTACTTTTACCAGCACGCATGCCTTTCAAATTGGGATCCACGGCATCCGATCTAGACATGTTTAAGGAAGAGGAGCGCTTGCAAGCAGAACATAGAGACCGATACATGCGCACCTTGGGTTGGGGCCGCTGCCTAAGTAACACGGTATAACGACACGCGTGTGTTTAGTGTCATGCAGTATTTGCGGTTAGTAACGTGTAGCTCGAGTTACCCTGCATTCGCAACTAGCACGCATATCATAGTACCGGTATGCCATGGCAATTTTGCCTTAACCCTCGGGTTATATCAGTTAGGATATCCCTATGAGTGCATGGGCCGCCAGTTGTAAAAGACCATATGTGGATGATACCCGCGCTCGAATACGAACATAGAGCGCATGTATGTTTTGACCGTGCTATATACAGCATGGCTAGCAACTTATGCCAGTGCTTGCAGCTGGATACCAGAGTGGAACCATATAGGATGCATAGGCCCATGGATCTGCGATCGCGACGGTACAGGACGAATTTGCGCAGTCGTTATACACTCTCATCATTAGTACTTACGCATGGCACGCTTTGTGCAGCCCGGCCCATCCCGCACTGACCGGTCCATGCCAGCTGGGCTCCGGTCGAATATACTCCTCGACAGCAATCTGTTGCTCAGTGTATAGGGACGGTCTTAGCCGCCATGAGGTATGATACGCTCCAACCTGCAATCAATCGGGTCATGAGCCTGCAGGCCGGTGCGTCACCACAGCTAGCTATATTGCCTCCTAAGTGGCATAAATTTAAGTTGACGGTTGGTGATTGTACGCGTGCCGGCCGCCGCGCTAAGTGCCAGGCATCTAGAATGCAGCTGCCACGGCCTGTGCGTGTCGTTGTACGTGCATCTAGACTAGCCCACGCCGGTGGCTATGAATCCTGGTGCATCATTGCAACACGGGTATGCGAACTTATCAAGAACAGAACCAACGCAGGTATCGAGGTGATTGTGGTAGACAACGGTTGTTGATTCTCATTCAGCGCGCACTCTCTGATCATTAGGATGGCCTAGAATTTTGAACCTCCTTTTGGGCTGACTGAAGTTGTTGCCGGCCATTGCCAAGCGTGCGGTCATCCCAGCGGTTCGGTGACTCTGCCACACTTCTTCCATAGCTGCCTTGACCTGTCTCTTATTGCTCTCGATCAACCTTTTCACTTCGGTTACACTTTTCTGAGAGCACGATCACCAAGGACAATGCGCAGGAGGCCCTCCAACAGGACCAAGGACCCTAGGGTCGGAGGATCCTTTGCGGGATACACCCTTGCAGCGTTGCTCTGCAGAACAGAGGGCAGCCAATCAGTATTGAGTCGCCAACTTTCAAACGCCACTCGGAAAGTGTAGGTTGATTGGGTTGTGGAAGGTGAGAAGCTCTGTTTTAACCAAGGCCCTCTCATCTCATCCTTCGATTGAAGGATGCATCCGTCTCAAGACTGGTTCTTTCATTTGGATGGAAAAGCAGCAGCCTAGATTTCCAAGGTTGTTGATTGACTTCGATGTTCGGACATTTCCGTTCTTGCTCACAAGGACTGAAACTGAAAGCAAGAAAAGTCTGGGCTTCGACCTTTTCCAAAGCACAACAACTTGCGGACCCAGCTAACTTATTTCCGAGCACTCAGTGTCTCTAAGTCAAACAAGCGTGTGACACTCGCCTGTTGTCCGATGTACACCTTTCCTACCAAATACGTGCCCCCAGGCAAAAGCATCTTCTCTTGCTCCATATGGAAGGCGTCATGCAACAGAGCCGTGACTTCGTCCAGCCTTTTCTGGATCTCTGCACACT